CCGATCTCCCCAAAACCCCAAAACCCCTCAAGTCTTTATTCGAAGAGAAATTGAATTATGTTTTATTTAATATTTGCATATAATATATTGCAATTACTCTTTCAATCGTTTTAAAAAATATGTTGCCTGAGCTTATCATGCCTCACTCATAACTCATATTGCAGGATCATCATCTTCTTTCTCAAAATCACTGATCATAATTTTCTTCTGGTTGATTATATCCAGGCTTTCCTCTTGTGTAATGTTCATCTAGATTGTCTTTCTATGCATTTTTATTTGCTATTCCATAGTATTCAGAATTTTAAACTTTCTACTGGATATACTACTGGGCGTCTTGGTCCCTTTACCCTATTAATTATTCTAATTTAATTAATCTCAGTTCGTGTTCATCAACCTTTTACTAAAGTTTTTTAATTTTCTCTTTACTTTTGATTTTGTGATCTTCCAATGCTCTAACTCTCATCTTTTGATAGAATACTACAATGTCAGGATTCTCAAGATACCTATCTATGTTATCGACATTTCCACTGAAAACACATTTATATTCTTTGTAGATGAAATCTATGTCAATGTCTTTTCCTATCTTTGTATCTCTGATTTTAATCTACAAGTCATTTAATTCTCTGGAGTGCTACTTGATCTCCAAGACTTGATATTCACCAGCACATTCCTCTATCAATCTCTTTAGATATAGTGCTCTTTCGAGTATTTAATCTACTAGTTGGAAATTTGTTTTATAGTTAGTGAACTCAGTTCCATTTTTTTTTCTTAGGTCGTTCTCTTCAACTACTGTTTAGCAGAATTCCATGATTTCCTAGACGGGGATATACTGATCTCTGATATTCTCACCAAACTTTTCTATCTAATCATAGATTTGCTAGGCTTGATTCGCTAGCTAAATACAAATCTTGTGAACCTATTAAAGTCTGTGATCATGGACTCCATTCTCAGAGCACTCCACACAGTAATATGGACTATTGTTGCAGTATGTATCCCTAATGCAAAAGTACTAAGCAACTAAATTAGATCCGCATTTGCAAGGATTGAGCTTGCTTGCGTCAAAGTCGAAGACATTATTGGAAATCATTTTTTTAATATAATTAATACTTGATTTTGATCAATTTATTAGGGAACCTTATAATTGTAAATGCTACTGAGAAGAAGTAAATTATTATTGAAATTTAGTTTTAAATCACTTATATTTTCGATAATTTCTCTTCTTCTTTAAATTTACTTTATCTACACAATGGGGTTTTGGGGTTTTGGGGAGATCGGAAGAGCGTCGTGTA